TAATAATAATAATAATAATAATAATAATAATAATAATAATAATAATAATAATAATAATAATAATAATAATAATAATAATAATAATAATAATAATAATAATAATAATAATAATAATAATAATAATAATAATAATAATAATAATAATAATAATAATAATTTTTTTTTCTCTCAAACAGCCATAAGATCAGATATCAGATCAAATGAATGTGTAATATGACACACTTGCTTTGAACTATTTTTATTGTAATATCAATTGTTTGATTATTTTGATGGTACCCTTTAAACAGCTGTTGATAAGTGACTCTGCAACTACATATCAACTAGCGGTCATTAGAGTATTAGTATGTCTGCTTCTGTTAATATTTGCTAACACTTTATTTTGATGGTCAACTAACAGATAAACTGACTATAAGTGTCTTTGCAAGTACGTCATCAACTTATTCCACCATAGATTCTACCATTCTTGAGCATACTAATACTCTAATGAGAGTTAGTTGGCATGTAGTTGCAAAGTTGCTTATAGTCGATTGATTAAGGGGACCATCAAAATAAAATGTAACCATATAAAACATTGCATTTTTTCAGTTGGAGTATAAAGCTCACATCAATTAATTAACATTAGCGCCACAGGAAACACTCAAATAACACTCAACATCTAACCACTCACAAGCTGTAGTAAGATACTGTGCAGATCTTAAATAAACAATGTCAAGATATGATACAGTCCATTATTCTGTAAATGAAGTAGATTTAATATGGTGTTCATTGTGTGTTATAAATAATCATACTCTTAAACTTATAACCACAAATACGGAAGTATGATGCATTATAACTGTTGTTATGATTATTCATGAGTTGATACTGTATAACATATTATACGTTTTTTTATAATGCATTATGCATTCATTATAATGCCTTAAGAATACCCTTATAATTTATTATAAATACGGGCTTCATAGCAAGTGTTACCAAATATTCTTAACACAAAGAGTATTTTACTTAACCCACTGGCAGATAATTGTACTTATTTTAAGCAAAATGCACTTAATTGAGTTTTCCCCCCCAGAAATAAAACAAATTATCTTATGTCATTTTGCATATCTAGTAAATGCAATTTACTTACTGAAGCGTGAAATCTACTGACCTACAGTATGCTATTATCTGAGAAGCCGTCCACACGAGGAACTGGTGTTGTGACCTGTGGGAATTGTATCATAACTGTAAGCGACTGGTGACAATTAGTGACCTTTCGTTGCTCTCGAAAACCATTTACTTCAATTACAGTGTAAAAACCAGCTGTAACTTACACTTCATGACTTAGTGATGGATGGTTGTAAAGCTCTCCTGTTTTAAAATTATTTGTATACGTATACATTTTCAGTGTTACAGTGCTTTCTACTGTCTCAGCTAAATATGCAGATAACTCTAGGTTGTATCTGCATACTGAAGCTATTTGTAGGTAGATTTCCCCCGAAAAGTGTGAACGCTGTGGTTTTGTGGCACATTGTTTGTTTCGCCAGCCTGACATGTCTTTTACTGAACTAACGTCATGAATTTGGACTGTGACTACCTATTTATTAGAACAATTAGAAAAGTGTTTTGGGAAACACATTTGGAAACAATCATAATTTTTGCGATATTGCCTCACAGGCCACAGAAATAATATAACAATCATAATACCTGCTCTAACATGCTTATCTAATCATTAAACAAGATTAATAAAGTATTGGTCATTTTTAGTTTATTTTATACCGTTCATGGATTACTATTTTTAACAAACTGAACCCTGTTGTGACATATTCAAAAACTACAGTCTTATGAATATCTATAACGACGAATGCAAATGTGTTAATATAATCTGTAGCAAGTTGCACAGCAGTTGCTGTTATGTTCAAAGATTATGTAAAAGCGCATATAGTGCCAGGCTCTGTGCAAGATAAAGACCACAGGGATATTTTTAAGCGAACGTCTCTCGCACATTCCTTCACGTTTGTCAGTATTGTGAAATGAATGGCAGTGCTTTTTGTTGTTTTTTTACTACTTTCATCAACAGAAAACCAAGTGATTGGGAAACTGCTGCCATATATCGAACATGAGGATGAGGTATAGTGTGGTTATAAACCACAGATGTTATCAGCAGCCTGACTAGCTCGCTGGGTACTGCAGACTACCTGTGTTTTCATACTAAATCAAAGTTGCACAACCATGCATAATTTGTTTTCAGTTAAACTTGATGCTTAAAGTGACTTCTGTTGTTCCGGCTAAAGTAGTCTCCAATATGTGTGCTTCCCGTGCCTGGGGTGTGTTACGTTTATCCTGATGGTTTTGAAAAAGGATGTTGTTAAGCCCTGCAAAAGTACCTCAACATACTTGTTGGCATGTTAACTGGGTCAGTGCTGCATAAATAAGAGCTTGCGGTTGTATGTGAGCTGTAATAACCAGAAAAAGAGGGAGGCTATTATCGCAGGTGTTGAAGCATGTTTTTCTGACTGTTAATAATGAAAAATGAGTGAATACATTGAGACTTTTTAAGACTACAGTCAACATGACCACTGAACATTTAGTATATTTTAGCTGGAGTTTCTTGGAATGTGTTAATGGCAAACAGTATTTATATAATATAGGTTTAATAAAAATATATAAGTGAGAGTAATTAAAACTGAAGGGAACAAATAAAAAACAAGACATTAAATGGACATAATTTTTTTTCCATGACTATTTCACTCTAACAGAGACAGGATACCTTATCTAACCTCAATTGAGCTTAACCAATCAGGTTTAAGGGGGTGGGTTTCTTTTGAAGTAATTCAGCAAAAACGCTTACTAACTCAGTCACATCACTATCCAGTTCAAAGAGAGACAGACAATCAAACCTGCTGTGAGTATCAGACAATTATTGTGACTTACTTATGTGCAATCTTTTGGATCACAAATGATTTTATATATATGCAAAACATTGTGCTCCAAAAGTTTCCACAACAATATATCCAAATATTTCATTTTATTGAACATTTTGTGGTATCTATTTCCAACTAAACAAGCTTGTTAACAGTTTTGTATTTCCCCAAACAGTCTCAGAAACATGACAGATCAATCTCTACAACAGACGATGCCAATGAATGACAGCTCCACAAACCAGACTTGTGATGTTTTCATCTATAAGGAGTCTGCACGGATCATCTTTCCCATTTTCTATTGCCTGATTCTTGTCATCAGCGTGGCAGGTAACAGCTTGGTCCTCTGCATCACTTGTCAGAAAAAGCTGAAGATGAACTCCACCACGATATATATCATCAACCTGGCCATCTCCGACACCCTCTTCACCTTGGCTCTTCCCGGCAGGATCACCTACTACATCCGAGGCTTCGACTGGCCTTTTGGAGATTTCTTGTGCCGGCTGACTGCCATGATCTTCTACAGCAATACCTACGCTAGCATCGCCTTCATGACCTGCATCAGTGTAGATCGCTACTTGGCCATGCTGCACCGTCAGAGGTGTCAAAGGCTGAGGAAAGCCAAAGTTGTGCGAGGTATCTGCATTCTGGTATGGGTGGTGGTGCTTCTTGAGACGTCTCCTCTGCTCTTGAAGAACACCATGGAATACAGATCCAGTCATCGAACGTGCATGGAGTTCTCTAATTTTGATAGCCACTGGATGGCATTCGTTCTCCTGTTTGCTTGCATCATCGGGTTTTGCTTTCCATTGGGACTCATCCTGTGCTGCTACAGTCGGGTCAGCTGCAAGCTCTCCAAGACGGCCAAGGAAAACCCGGTGACCAACAGGTCTGGCAGCAACGGCAGGGCCAAAAATATGATCCTGCTCATTCTGCTGAGCTTCGTGGTGTGCTTCAGTCCCTACCACATCAACATCATGCAGTTTGCAGTGAGAAGGCTGTACAATGTGCCCAGTTGTGAAGACTTAAAGACTTTGAAAATGTCCCTGCAGGTAACCGTTTCCATGATGAACTTTAACAGCTGCCTTGACCCTATTATTTACTTTTTTGCCATCAAAACGTACAAGCAGAGAGTCATGAGTCTTTTTAAGAGCTACATTTCCATTTCAGCATCCTCCAGGAGCATGCAGGAGAACAGCAGCAGTAACACATGAGGGCCAAAATGATGTGAAGAAAAATATGATGGTGCAAACTGCAGAGGAAATGTCTGCACAGGTGTGAAAATGCGGTTGGATAGCTGTAGAGTGCAGCGTCTCATACCTTTTATTTCTGAACAAACGGCATACAATTTCTTATCATTGATGGTGTTTAAGTCTGTTATTTTGTTTTGGGTATATCTGACATAATAAGATCACTGATATTATGTTGCTTTTTTGTGGTCATTATGAATTTGAATATGAAACTAACATGAATTTGTCACTCATAAGCATTTATAACTGATGTTCATTTGTTTGTGTAATATATTTCTGATTGTGATTAATATGCTATTGGATTTAAAATTTTTTTTACTTGGTCATGTAGGCCTGCCATTGACGTCAAATGAAATTCAATTCTGTTATAATTTACTCATCCTCATGCTGTTCCAAACCCATAAGAAATGTGTTCATCTTCAGAACACAAATGAAGATATTTTAATCAAATTTGAGAGATTTTTGAGACATTTTAAAAGATTTCTCAAAAAAACTAATCATATGAATCATGCGATTTAATCCAAGTCTTTTGAAGAGACATGATTGGTTTATTTGATGAACAGCTTTAATTTTGGCTTTTCCCAAATTAACATTAATATCTTCATTTGTGTCCCAAAAATAAACAAAAGTCTTTTGGCCTTGGAATGACATGAGGGCGAGTAAATGATGACAACTTTCATTTTAGAGCGAACTAAGCCTTTAAGAACAATTAATTAATTGGAAAAGTCCCACATAAAGGTCATGGAGGCTAAAAGACCATTCTGAGTAAGAATGAGTTATTATGTAGGTGTATGTTAATACCTATTGACATTTCCGTAAGCTGCTGTGTAAATACGGTGTTTTGCTTTAAAGATGCTCACAATGTGTATGTTACATTTCGAGCAACCCCTATAACGGCATTTTCCATTTGGGAATTTAAAGCTTATGTAGCTGTCAATTGTGCTAAACAACTTTCTCTGAATATCAATTAAAGAGTTCATTTACAAGCTGTTGTGTTTTATTTTGCTTATCTCCAGCTGCCTACGCAACACTAAAAAAGTGTGAAAAATGTTTTTGATGACCTAATTTGCCATTTAGTTATCAACCCCTGGGAATGCACAACAAGAAGTAATTTATCTATAATCAGAAATCACATCGCAGCGTTTCTTAGAATGTCATGCCACTTGATTCACTCTTTGTAGCTCTGACATATGAGACATATCAACTGAAACAGTGTTACTACGAAACGGCGATGACTTCACCGTCACACTCAGCGGGGACCAAAAAGCACATGGCAGCACGTGTTTGATGGGAGCACGTGGGTGTTAAACACACACATGGCAGTAGCGTTCTTTTTCCTGCTTAATTTCACCTGAGCTTCAGAACAGGATATCAACATAACCACAAGCACATTAAATGTCATTTTTAGCCGCTACAGGTGGTTTGCTAGACTTTGTTGTGTATTCCATGAAGCTACGTGTCTATAAAAAAATGCGGAGAATGTGGCAAGCATACAGCAGCCTACAAAACACAAGGATGTAGGTGGCAGATAATGTGGGTGGTAAAATTGTCTTTGTAGAGAATATATACTCAAAGAATATAATTTGAATTTAACAATGATTACAAATGCACAGTATCTAGCTAAAACATTAAATGGGGCAATAATATGACATTTTCTCAACCTCACCACATACCAACATCCTCTATTTCCCCAAAATATGTGGTACAAGACATTCACAGTGACAAAAATCCTAAGTCAAATGAATACATTTTTTGTACCTCATTAAGTTAACCGGATCTATTAAAAAAATCTTACTGACAAAATGATGAAAAAATTATTCAATGGATCATATGTATTTGTTCGTTTGTTTATTGATTTATTTCACCAATAAAGTCACAATTTAATTTTACATGAATATTTTCCACCCTAATTCTTCTCTGACCCCTAAATCAATGTTTTTTTTGCTATTTGTCTAAGCAAACGTCCTTTACATTAGTGAAATGAGTAATAGTGGTTTGCTGCATTCACACGTCCACCAAAATGCCTTAATCCCCAGTCAGAGCAAAAGAAAAAAACATTTTCTCATACTTTCTTCTTTTTTTAAACACGCCAGTCTTTTATTGATGTACAATCTGTTTCAGATAAACCCACACCAACTGGAGGAAAAAAAAAAAAACTTTGGTTGCTACAGTTCATATCACTCATTTCCTGCCCTAGTTTTTGAGTTGTTGTTTATTTTGAATTTTACACATAAATAGGCATATTATTTCACCATAGTGCATACTAGGGCTGTGCATCACCAGCAAAGTCACGATACGATACGTATCACGATACAGATGCCACGATACGATACATGACTGCACTGAATTTCACCTCAGCAGAATTTAGTAAAACAGCTGTTTATTAAACACTGCATACTATAGTGCCATTTCTAACTATTGGCAGAGCAGGCAGTTGACCTCTGCATTATGAAGGGCCTCCATAACTGTAACACAGTACAATAGCCTATAGGTAATGGCATATGTTTCATGTTTACATTGTGCACTCCCAACCAGGTACAATATTCTGATTGTTTGCATCTTGTACTTGTTCTAATCAATTTATATTGTAATGTACTCATTCTAATATATAAAAAAAATATTTTACATTGCTGGTAGGTTATCATTGCACAAATTAACACACTCTCTACAATTAAAAAAAAAATTCTAAACGCGCTGTCTTCACTGTATATCACACACACACACACACTCACGCTCAAGGCTGATTTACCCCTTGTCCAAATACCCACATTTGCGGTCTTGGCCACTTGAGAGCATGTGCGAGCAACAGGAAGTAACAAGTCTGTCCCATGTCTTCAAAATGCCAAAGTGCAGTGCCCTTAATGAATACTAAATCCACACTATCTCGAATACTGCTCCAGAGCGCTATTCAAGGCTAAGTGTATCCCATCATGCACCATGTTCTGGAAATAAATCGTGAGACTTTTTGCCGAGATCTCGCGAGAGGTCACGGGAACCTTTCCAATGTAAGTTAAATATTAATATAATTAGATATTACAAATAATTTGGCAGAAAAACAGTGTTTTTACTTTTATTGGTGCAAAGATGAGTTGTGGTGATATTTATTTTGTACAACATTTGCAACTGCTTTTTATCATTTAATTAGAAGCACCACAAATTAAAATGATGTCATGTTATAGGGACTACTGAACAGACATTTAGTTGATTTTAAAATCCAAAGTATTTCAAATTAAAATTAAAATGAAGCTGTGTAAACACTTGCATTTTTACAACACTGTAAGTGTGTCCCATCAGGTAATGAAAAGTTCGACACACACTTGTGGTCTTCACACCCACTTGAAGACTTCGGCCAAATACAGGAAATACGTCATTTAAGTAGGCTAATCAAGTGGTCAAGTGCAAAGACTGCAAGTGTGGATATTTGGACAAAGCATACTCGACAAGTTCGCTTAGGTGAGCGCGGCAAATATGACATCATTGCGGTGTTGGCCGAAGTTCGCGACATTTTTTGTAACTCCGCTTCCGAAGATGCACGAGTTCAAAGCGACTCTCGCCGAACATGCATGTCTGTGCCAGCATTTGTGTGAAACAGAAGCAGTTTGATGTTAAGTGCAGTCACACACACGTTGCGGTCGCACTCAAACATTCAGGAACAAACTTTTTAGTGCTGCCCCGCAGTTTTATCAACTAAATAGCTTAATCGCTCAAGAGCTACATTATCTTTCTCAACAAGGAGCTGGTAGCATCATTGTTTCTAAAGCAATTAAAGCCACAGCTTTACTGTTAATAGAGAAACGCTGCAAAACGGTGGTAATTCATACATACACAACCTCTCTCTCTCTCTCTCTCTCTCTCTCTCCATGTCGTAAATGAACGGTTGGTGAATTACACTTTTCTGAGAATAGAATATTGAAGTGGAGATCGCTAAACTGTAAGCTAAGCGGTGTTTTCAGAAAGCAAGCGCGTTTATCCACAGTGGAGAGAGAGCATGCGTTCACATGGTTGCCAGGTTGACAAAGATAAGTAGCACATTTAGCAGATATTTCCGTATTTCGCAAGTGTAAAGCTCTGTTTTTTGGATTACGTCTCTTTATATCAGGCAACCCAGTTGTGTTCCTCTGCGGCCAGATTAAACCTTGTTGTAGCCTATATACGCTGTATTCATTCTTTTTTAGAAACCTCGCAATTTTCTACTCCATTTTAAATGTTGTAAAATTTTAAACAAATTAAGCGCGGTCCACTGCCGCACACGTGCCACAGTATCGATACAGGGCCAGCTGTATCGATACTCGTATCGTCAAATCTCTGTGACGATACATCGTCGTATCGATATTTTGAACACAGCACTAGTGCATACAGAAATAAATGCCTCAACCACTTCTACTGTGAGAGGATTTGGGGTGGTAACCCAAACAATAAACTTTTTTTTTTTACCCAAATTAGCTTAGCAAATTAGTCCTAGACCAGGGCTGTCCAAACTCCTTCCTGGAGGGCCGGTGTCCTGCAGAGTTTAGAACTCTGCAGGACACCGGCCCTCCAGGACCGAGTTTGGACAGCCCTGTCATAGACCCTTTAGTCAGCTCCAAACTTAAATGGATAGTTCACCCAAAAATGACAATTCTGTCATTAATTACTCACCCTCATGTCGTTCCAAACCCGTAAGACGTTCGTTTATTTTTGGGAACACAAATTAAGATATTTTTGATTAAATCTAAGAGCTTTCTGACCCTCCATAGACCGCAATGCAACTGAAATGTTCTCATACCCAGAAAGGTAGTAAGGACATCAGTAAAATAGTCCATGTGTCATCAGTGGTTCAACCGTAATTTTATGAAGCTAGGAGAATACTTTTTGTGCACACAGAAAAGAAAAATTCTTTATTCAACAATTCTTCTCCCCGAGTTACCGTCTTCCGGCATTATCGAGAGCACCGTGACGCATGTATGTGCATTCGATAACTATTTGACCTATATGTCTTTACTATGTTTCTGGGCCTGAGAACATTTCAGTTACATTGCTGTCTGTGGAGGGGTCATAGAGCTCTCGGATTTCATCAAAAATATCTTAATTTGTGTTCCGAATAAAAA